TCCTTGAACTTACCAGCTTTCTTATCTACAGGAATTGGAGAAATGGTTATTTCTTTATATGCTGATTAAGGATACATAACAAGTGTAATATTAGACAAGGTGGAAAAACAGTAGGGTATGAAGCCCTTTAATACAAGGTTAAACGACCCAAAAACAGTCCCCCCAAAACATAACAAAGATAAAAACTATCCAGCCAAACGCCATAAGAAATAAAATTTTGAAGAAAAAGAATGAAGTATAAGGCAAAATTATATACATATTACACATATACTCGACAAGATCACACTGCTGAAGGAGTAACCTTACAACATTTTGGGCAAACAACCTTATGATCTTGTGTTGCCCTGGTCAAACACGCTCTTAATCCTTTAGTTTGCCTTTGAAAATTACTTCTTAGAGAAGTACTACTACACTTACTGTTATTAGGTACATTAAGGCATTCCAGATGTTTACAAAATGAATAAAATATGACTGCCTAAAATTAGACATTTTTGGAATGTAGTTATGTGGTGAATACAAACCAGTGTTAATAAAAAATAGAAAATTACATTTATATGACAGAAATGAAATAATTGTTAGTCTAATTTGGAGATGGAATAATGAAGGTCTCAAAGGATAGTAAGTAAGTTCCTAAACAATGGTCATGCTGGTGAGAACTGCTACTTAGCTTTTCATTTAGGTTTCACTAATCTTAGCCCCTGGATAATCTAACCATGCAAAGTAGTAAATGGTATTTCTGGCTCTAGCTGTGCTCAAAAAGAGGGGTAGACATGTTATTTTTAGGTTTTTTTTCTTTACCACTGAGGAGGTAAGAAAATAAAGGGGAAAAAGACAGATACAGAAGAAAGTTAACCACAACTAATTAACAACAATACTTACTAAAGTTTGCCTGTCGACACTCTGTAAACTCCATATATTGTTGAGGATCCAGCGTCCGTGATAAACGTTCTGCTCTCTAACAAACAAAGGATCTTATAAGTGTCACAGCAAAATATGAAAAGTAAAATGAAAAACAAAATAAAAATAATTAAAGCTTATCCACCTCATTTCTTTCTTGCTTTACTTCATCTACATCATCATCATCAAACAAAGCAACCAGTTCCCCTGAAAATAAAAAAGGGCATTAGGCATTTTCTTTCCTGATATGAACACAATATATTTAGTATTTTTAAAAATAATAATCCAAAATGGCTGCATCGGATACAGGATGGTAAGGAGTGGAGGTGTGCAAAAGAAAAGACACAACTAGATTACAGACATGTTCAGAGATTCTCCATCTGCCCATGTGAATCACGTGATGTCCCAGGGTTCCACTACAAACCATGTAAGGAGGAGTAGTACTGCTATAAATGGGCCTTATAGGTGTGTACAGCTTTGCAGGGCACGCAAGAGGTGAGGGATTATCCCAGTTTTTGTAGAATGAGGCAGCTGGGGGTATTACTACTTCAGAGGGTACTCAAAAGGCCAGGTGTTATCGTAGTTTTTGTAGAATGAAGTAGCTGGGGGTATTACTACTTCACAGGGTACCAAAAAGGTCAGGCGTTATCCCAGTTTTTGAAGGATAAAGCAGCTGGGGTATTACTACTTCACAGGGAACCCAAGAGGTCACGCATTATCCCAGTTTTGGTAGAATGAAGCAGCTGGGCGTATTACTACTTCACAGGGTACCCAAGAGGTCAGGTGTTCTCCAAGGTTTTGTAGAATTAAGCAACTGGGGGTATTACTACTTCACAGGGTACCCAATAGGTCAGGTGTTATCCCAGTTTTTGAAGAATGAAGCAGCTGGTAGTATTACGACTTCACAGGGCAAACATGAGGTCCAGGGGTATCCCTGTTTTTGTGTAATTAAACACCAACAAGCTTTGTTACTTCACGGAAAGTAACCCCTGAGGCCACATAATACCCACAAGACTGGAGTTCTATCCCAGTTTGCTAGGATCAAACACATGTATACATGTACAGCTGTAGTGTTAGAACTGTACCCCCTCCCTATTAGTCTGCTATTGGTTTATTCAAGTGTTAGCTAAGGCAGTAAATTACTTTCAAATTAAATTCCATTCTGCTCAACTGATTTCTTAAATAATGTTTATTTACCTGTTTGATCTATTGAGCTGATGAAGTCATAACAAACCTTCCGCCTCTTGTTCCCTTTCATTTCACTGGCTGCAACAAGAGACAAAAAATTTCCTTCAACAAAAATTCAGCTAAAACATAACCATGGTAGCAAAATTTCTGGATCACAACAATAGGGAGCTTAAGCAATGACAATGACAACCACAACAAGAATGGTAAAAAAGCAATAGGTTTATTAAGAAAAACAACAACTTTGCACATGCATCATGCTTTTTTGTACTTTTCTTAGCCGTCATTATACAACATGACAATTTCTTTTTTCCCCGTGCCCGCTTCATGGAGCACGTTAAAACGACACAAAAATTTTCTTTTTTTTTTCTAAACTTAGACATGGTCATTTAAGATTCAACTCCACACAAATTTGATGCTTTGACAAATTAAATTAATAAGATTGATGAAGTTTAAAACAGTGCAAATTCACTTTTTAAGTGATATTTTCAGTTTACTGTCATCCAGAAATTTTGCTACCAAAGCAACGTGACATGACGATTTCTCCTCTCTACGGTCATCATCATCAGTACGCAATGGTGTGCAAAGCTTACAAAGCACAAGGTAAAGAGACATTAGATTTGGTAGCTACCACATTATAGTTCTACTAACACTAATTCTTTTAAATAAGACAGTGCTGAAGCACTATTAAAGTAGATGCTTTCCCAATGCTGCATTCACCGACCTCTGTTACGTAGTCAGGGGTATAGAATGGTACCTCAAAAAACATGGGTCACAGAAAATTTTTGGCCCAATCTCAAAATATCAGAAGCATTTTTGATGAGTCTCAGAAGTCTCATTTTTGGGCAATTCTTGCATCTTGGAGTCCAAATTTTTTTCCAGTGGGTATCAGAGTCTCAAATTTGCCCTCAGAAGTCAAACTTTTCAGAGTTTATGGGTACATGTTATCGAACTGAGGTAGTAGATTAAGACGGTAAAAGAAGACAAAGCAGGATATTGGTGTGCTTCCCCTGGATTCCACTGGTATATTTGGTCATTTTATTTAGCTCTGATTTATTTGTACCATTATCTCAAAATTTTCGGCACTTAGTCTCTAGCTTGGATTTTTTAGAAGCAAAGTCTTGGGTTCAGAAAACTTTCAGTCTCGAATTTTGAAACCACAGTCTTGTAAAGTCACACAGTCTTGTAAAATCTAGAATTTAATATTCTATACCCCAATGTCAGGTGTATACTGACAAACACATACATGGACTAAAATTTACCAAAATAAATAACCTGAAGCTTCCAAGACTTCATCATCATCTTGAGATGTTTGTTTCTGGGATTTATTCTTCATGTCCTTGAAGTTCATATATCTGATTAACCTCCTAAGCTTTTCCTATAACACAACGATAACTTACTTAACTCTTGTTATATACTCTACAGTGCAAAATCAGTAGATACTGAGCAATCTGTCCCGATATCTTTCTCAACTCAGGCTACACAAGGTGCAAAGAAAATCATTTTTACAGCTTGCCATTCGGGCAAGCTGACATCATTTCAACTAGCCCCAAAAGCTTTTTGACAAGCAGAATTGATTTCACAGTTCTTCTATTAATCAAATTCCTCAAAAAATACCACTTGCCCGTCAGGCAAGTTAAAAACAGAATTCACTAGCCTGATAGCAAAATCCCCTAGCCCCAGGCTATTGGACACTACTTTCTTTGCACGCTGCTATGTGAGGAAAACTTCATCCCCATGAGGCATATTAGACCTTTTTCTCAGCGTTTGGGGAAGAGCAAACCTCTTTTGCACTCAAGTAGGGATTCAGAAGCTTGTAATGAGAAAAGTCTTGAAGGTTTACCACGTTCACTCATGAAAGGCCTTTTGAAGCTTTTCAAGCAATTTTCTGGTCACTAATCCCGCCAAAAAGGAACAACAACCACGTCTACCCATAACACTGTTTGTAATTTGAGCAGTTTGTGGCTTCTGGCTTCTGCTAAATATCCACCTCAAAGCTCACGCACGTACATAAAAAAAATCGAGTTGTCAGGTTTAAAAGTTTCACTTCACCATTGACTTTTATGTTTTGCTTTTTCCTCTACCCTCTTTTTTTCTTTCTTTTTTTTTTTTTTTTTTTTCGTATTTTCTTGCCCTGTTTTTATTTCTTTTCTGTGGAGAAAGTTTTAAAGGACAACTAATGCTTTTAGAATCATAGGATTAGAAAAACTGAAACTGTGCAGATGAGTAGTGGAAATAGATTTTCAAGGGAATCTTTGTATTTTTATGCCCATTCAACTTTCGTTTGAAAGATCTTTTCCTCCTGTACATGTCAAAGCTGTCTGTAATCAGTTAAAATGATGACGTCAAGAAGGTATGTGTGCATTTATATTCTGAATCTGTAAAGGAAAAGGTAATGTTTTAAAGATGAGAATGCTACAATGTACATAGCGGTAAGGATGTAATGAGCCTGGCAAATTTTTTAATCAATAATACAATAGTCATTGAATTCTCCTTTCATATAGTATGAAGAAGCCTATAGTTAATAAGTCCTCAGCTTCTATATAGGATTCCTTACCAATACAATTTTGAACATTTTGTAAATAATTTAGAATAGTGTTTAGCATCTTTGTTATTTTATAAATCTATTGTGTACTGTAAATTATAAATGTATTTCACGTGGTTTTAGGCAACATAGATGGATGGACAGACAATTGGAGGGAGGGGTGGACGGACAGAAGGATGGATGGATGGATGGATGGATGGATGGATGGATGGATGAATGGATACTACACGTAAATAGATGGATGAAATAACCAGATCTCATACAGCATCATCTCCCTTGGTCTTTGGCCTTGGCAGATAACACCCTCCTCAAGTTTCATAATTCTTCATATCATACTCAGCATCATCCAATAATAATAATTATTAAATAATTACTATTTTCATGGGGGAGTGTTATGTTATATCTACATAAAACCTACTTTGTCTTTCCTCATCAAAAAAATGATATCTTCAACACTCATGAATCTTCCACCCCTCATATTTGTTACCTCAGCAGCTCGCACAACCTGTTGATTAATAAGAAAGTCGGGATGAGTGGTGGAACAAGATTTTTATTGGAATTTTCTGGTTGGTTTTACACCATTTTTGGATTTTTCTTGACTTTGACTGAATGATCAGACCCATTCAGGTATGCCTTAAAAGGTCTCTTCCCCATGCGCAAGTTGGGTGTCAAAGTTATCGATGCCCATAAAAACTGATGATGTCACAGCCAGTACAAGGGACATTGAAACATATCGGTAGTTACAGGCAGTTGAGATGTAATATTGAGGCCCTTCTGTCAGTTTTACTTCAAATCCACTCAGTTTTTCCTCATACAAAGCAGTTAGGCAGATATGCTTAGTCACTCAATTCCCTCCAAGGAGCCACCGTCTCTAATCAGCTTCCCTGTAATACCGATGAGTTCACCCCTTTATCGATTAAGTTTCTTTTGCAATGAATAGCTCCCAACGTGCCCCTTCTCTAATAAACCAGTTTCCTAAACCAGGCCTTACCCATACGAGCCAACTCTCCTAGATGGTCCAAGAGTCTTCTGCATCAGTACAGATGTCCCAGTCTCCCTCAAGGGTCACCAAATCACTCAGATAAATTCAACTTTGAGCTTTACTATACTTTATAAAGGAATTTACCCCATAATTTCTCCAAAAAATTGAAAATTGTTTAATATTTAAGTTCAGAATACGGTCACTGGCAGCATTCTTATCATGTATTTTATCACTTACAAAGTGGTTTGTACTACATATAGGATTACATGAAAAGTCCTGAGCCCCACCCACTTTATGATTTGGTCAGTAGGTCGATTGTGTGCATCAGGGATGAGGTGAGATACTCTACAGATTTTAAATCTCCAGAGCTGGACATTTCTACTTATCTAAAATACATGTACCCACAGACTCTAACAGATACCCTGTTCTCCATAAAAGCTCCCTCCCCCCCAAAACAAAAAGGCCCTCTAACGGACTGCACTTTTGTAGACACAACCTTGCTTCTCAATAAACCTCTACCATAATTTCTCTAATAAAACTATGTATATCCCACCTTTAACCACCTCTCTCAAATGGGATCTCCTCTGATAGACCCCTCCTGTGTTAATAAACATTCCTCTAAAAAATCCCTTCTGTCAAAAACCCATTCTCTGATAGACCTCCCTTTCCTAATCTCCTTGTATAATATACCCTCTAATATAATACTCCAATCATGCCCTAAAATAAGCCCCATGCACTTGGAAATTGTCCTTTAACAACCACTGCTGTCAAAACACTTTCTCAGGAGATCCTGCTCTAGAAGACCTCTTCAATAAAACCTTCTCAAATATTTATCAACATTTATAAGCATCCACGTCATTATAGCTATGCAGGTAGCAATATAAGCTTCAACTGTTTTAGTTGATATTGTCGAGAGCTTGTGCTTCATTGAAATCTTTTTAAGGGATGTCGTAATGCCATTCTTGAGAGTTTAAATAAAATTGAGTCTTTACAAGACACCACTCGATAAAAATTCCCTCCTCCTATACTTAAATGTCACTAAACACTCCGAAATTCTGAACAGCCAATAAATCATCCCTTCAATTAAGATAAAGACATGCATATCTATAAAATCAAGATCATACCAAGCTTGCCATCTGTGAATGAACAATTTCTTCAATAAGAGTGGCTGATTGTGTGGAAGGCTTTCTTGAATCACCAAATGCATACCTAGATAACAAGCAAAGGTTATCTCATTTGGTAGCATCTTCTTCTGTACATGCATATGTTACAGGTCAAAGTTAAATTCAGGTGAAAATTTTTTTAACCTCGGTTGATTCTCAATTTTCTTAGTCCACTAACACTAATTATTTTACAAAGAAGGGCTAAGAGACGCAGGAAATTTAGAATTTATCTATGAGTAGGTTAAAAAATTTCAATCTGAATGTAACTTTGACCACTAACCCATACAAAGAGCTGAGACACATTATTAAGAATTAATTAAATATAATTAACTAACAATGTTTAATTGACAATAAACTTTCAAATTGTTAGAGTGCTTATGTCCACTGCAAAACAGTAACCAATTCATGTGAATTATATTCTCGATTAGCAACTTTAAAACTGTTACAATTTTTGTCCACAGTATTTAGGATCAAGATCCATGGTGTGATGTTGTGCAATATAAGTTAAGTATATATGACTGATGAAGTGGTTGTTATGTTAATGCCGCATACATGTACTTGATAAATATAACAAATAGGTACAGCATCAGTACCCGCCGACAAACAGTATTTGCTAAAAACAACGTCAATGTCCATAACCATGGAGCCATATGTATTTAACACTCCACAGAGCAAAGAGAATAGCTTTTGCGACGTCAGTAATAAGCATGACCATACTGTCTGCATGCCCACTTGAATACCTCCCACTGTGGGCTTATCTACCACCCTCGGTGAGCGGCAACAACAAATGAAAGGTTCAACTTTTAATCCCTGTATTGTAACACATGTATATTACAAAAGGAAACTAGATGACAAAGATGAAGATATCTTAAACTCATCACACTTCTGAAAACTATTTTTTAAATCTCACTTTTTCATTTGTTTTTTCCCATTTTACTCCAATTTAATTCCATTATGGAAAAATAAGGGGTGTAGTTGGGTCTTAAAATAAAAGCCAAGGGTGTAGTCATTCAAGTAAAATTATAATAAATTTTCCATTTCCAGTTGCCTTGATAGAGAGAGAAGTTACAATGACTCAACCATTTTCCACTTTCCCATATTTAATACACCAGGAAAACATTCCAAACCAAGCAGAAGGTTACCCATATATATATAGATATGTATGTATATCGTGATTTTCTTTGTGCGAACAAATTTGAATCTGGGTGAAATGCCATCATTATCTTCTACTTAAGGTCAAGGTTCTTTATTTAGTAAATAGAGGAGGGGCAAACTCTCACGTTTTCACTAAAGACCCTTCATTGCATATCATCTCTCTTGTGCTTGGGCTGGGTCCTACATCTTTGTGCACGCTCATAACAGTTTATGACGCGAGACCCAGACTGACCAAACAAAACTCAATAATGTTTGGTATAATGACTCAAATTTAGTAAAATTGTGGTTGTGCAAGGTATTGGCTGTGAAAGAGACACCGCTTAGTATTACGAATATTGCCATGGCGGAGAGTAATATTAAAATTATTTGTGCCAAAAATACCACCCCATTAAGAATCACACTTTAATTCCAATCTAACAAATCAAGCAGATCAATATAGATGTACCAAGCAAGAGTTTACTTTGTTAGAATAATCACTAAACTATACATAATATTACACACCTTACCAAAGATCTACTAATTTTAGCAAGGAAAAACTAACTACACATTAAAAGTTTAAAATGAAATATTTCAGCGTAAAGTATCAAAACTATTTCTCTTCTTAAAGCAAATCATTTTAGCACAGTGGGAGACAATCAGGCTGGGTTATGATAAGCTGAAGTAGGTCAAGGAATTACTCGTTACTTTAGCTCCCTTAGAAAGAAAACATACTCACGCAAAGTATTAAGTTCATTAAACTTACAATCATCACTAGGGATTGAATCTTTGCTTCATATGGCTTTTTCCCACATAAATCAAAGAATGGAGGAATTTTACCTGCATCCATAGTATTAGTACTCTTGGTTTAGTTTTTATGACCAATTCCAAGAAGTCTGCAGTCCCTCTAGTCTGACAACTAACCTTTCTCGTTGCATTTTTCACTTGCATGCAAGATATTGATTTTTTTAAATGATCAGATGAATTGTCCTTAAGAAGGAAACAACACTTAGCAAAAATGTCCCTTGAAGTTTAATATTATTATAAGCTACACTTTGCAAAGATGTTTGAGATTCTTTTTTTTTCAAGTTTCTCTACTCCAACAAGGAATGTAGGTACAAAAACAGGCCAAATTCCAATTCACAGAAAACAAATAGTTCAAAAACTTAACATTTGACATAATTTCTTAAATGGCCACACAGATAAGAGAATTTTGCCATGCCATATTCTATTTCTGTTTGATTTGTATAAGTCTTACAATGTTTCCCCCTTCCCCCACCCCCATGTGATAGGAAGTTCACAGCACTGGTCCTAAATTAGTGGACTTCAAAATCTACTTTTAAGAACTCATCAACAGATAAACCCCAAGTAGCTCACTACCAGGGAAAATTATCCTCATAAAACTCCAGTTCGTGACAAACATGATTGCTTAGAGTTGCCTGAAGGCAGATTGACCACTCTAGTGACATTTTACATAAGCAGGACCCACAGAAAACTGATTAACTATGTGAGCAGGAAAGTTTAATAAGAGCTGATGACAGGTAAGCAGGTCAACAGTAATTAAATGTTTTTCTTTTCAATAAAAGATCTGTTTATGCCCTTAACGCAGCCAGGTTAAAGAATATTCTCACCAATTTTTCTCCACCCTCTCTGGTTTTCCAGTCTCCTCAAAATGTGGCAGATGAGTAGACACTTATTGGATATGCTGCCATTAAACATTGTATTTCTTTGGTTTTGTTTGTTTGTTTGCTTTTTAAGTTGGCTAGTTTTGCTTTTTTTTACTGTTTTTGTTTAAGTTGGCTAGTCTACCTATTTTCTCATTCTCTAATAACAAAACAACTGGAATCATTTACACTGCAAAAAAAAAAAAAAGGATTACATGAATTACCAAATAATCAGTGACTTTCAAAATGATTCTTTCTATAACTTAAGCACAGGATGAAAAAAATCAGCAACTAGGTTATAAAATAATACTAGGCTTCATTTAAAAAAAATTCACCCAATTCACTTCCTGAACTAACACAGGTTGCGAAGAATATGAAAAACCAAAATGAGGCTGACTCGTCCCCAGTCGTCTCCAAGTTGTCTTTACTCAGGAAATGAGGTGGCCGAGCTCCATCCAGTTGGTACATGTTAAGCATTCAGGAATGAAATAACAATGATTCATTGTGTTATCTTCTGGCACAGGAATTGATCAACTTAATTCAATCTATAGCAATATTAATAATTTAAGAGGCAACTGTTGATTTTGCTCATCTGTAAACAGTCTGTTATTACTCTGATTGCAATCCTTTAAATATCATCTGTCACCCTGCATTATTTTTAGCCAGTCCAAAAAGATTTGGCCATTATCTAATGTTCTGTTGTTTTATTTTGATAAGGCAAACTAGGAAACTTTTAATATGCCCCACCACTTTATCAGAAAAGAACTTTGCCCTTTCAGTCTCAAAGTTAAAAGTGGAAGTTATGAAAAGTGACATTCCAACTTTGGAATCTGTGGATGAGATAACATTGTGTAGTCATTCAAATAAAACCTCTTCAGCAGTACTTTCACATGGTAGTATTTACTTATTATGTAATACTACTACATGAGAAATTTCTAACATTTGATTGGCTTAGAGCAGTGGTATTTCAGCTTAATTTGAAATACCTACATGTGAAAATTACAAACCTTGTGGGGGTAGTAGTATAAACAACATTACTAATAGCATGATTTGTACGTGATATTTGGCATAAATACAACTCATGATATTTCAAAATTGTCTCAAATTTGTGAAATTATGTACAACAATTTCAAAATATCACTTGTGGTATTTATGCCAAATATCACTACAAATCATGCTATTACTTATACTAATTCTAACACCCGGGTTCTAACATTTGATTCTGGGAATTTAATCCTATAGTGTGGCCATTCAAAAGAAACCTCTTTAGCAGTACATTTACTTTCACATGGTACTGTTAAATTGGTATTTAGTTCTAGCTGTTGGGTCTGTGAATGAATATCTATGGTGTGACCATCCACATGAAGTACCTACCACATGATTCATTTATTTATTTATTTTTCTTTAAAAATAAAACTTGGCATTTTCCCTGAATTTTGGTTTTGGACAGCTGCTAGGGTCGAGAAAGGGTCGAGATCTTGACTTAGAAAACAGTTCCCTGCTGACAAATTTTCTACAAAGTGAAATCTTTGTAACTTTGAATAAAACTAATAGATAAGCACACATCATCATATCATTTATTGGCAATTTCCTTTTTTGCTTAGCAATTTTCAGTGTATATGCGAACATGATCCTCCTATTCACAACTCAACCACATTAATATCACTACCGGGATTTGTAAGGAAAATAAATCACATTGTGGTGTTAAAGTACACAAACTTAGGTCACAAACTTTTTTAAGGGGGGTAGTTTTTAATAGCTTTAGTGCTGCTTTATATGGCATTAATCCCACAGACAAGTTTAATACTTTATTATGAATTAAGTTATTTAAAAGTGAAGTAATCTCATAGCATGATGACACTTCTCTTTTAATCATTTGCAGTAGGAGTCTCTTTGTGTTAAATTAATGGCCTTAACGTATAGTAAATTTGAGAAATTTAAATGCAATTTAGTCAGAAGTATTATTAAAATCGGATTTGCTGGCATGCACCAGCTGAAGGAAAGCCTTGTGGTAATGAAATTGTTATGGAGGCTAAGGTTAAAACTTGTCCTCCGCTGTAAAACAACAGCATTAAAATTTTCTTATCTCTTAGAATGACAATAAAAGATTTCAAACCAAGATAAAAAATATGCATCAATTACAAAATTGTACTACCGAGTCAGTTTATTTTTGAGACAACAGTTAGTCCACCACAGCTTATTTCTGTTCGTGGCCAAACGTCGTGGAAGCAGAGGCGCTAAAAATAACTTGGTGAAAATAACTCTATAATTGGGTCAATTTACATGTCTCGTCTATATATTCTGCCTGATTTGACAACAAATCGACTTGACATGCATCTTTAGTTCAAGTCTGAGGGGAAAGAGATAGTGAAGCCCCTGGTGAATGCTACGAGATAAGATAGCGTGACAAGATATTCACAACAGCTCAGAATGTGGCAATGTCTTGTAATTCTTTTGCACTGTTCAATCCGCTCTGCTCCACGTGGCCTTAATTGAATCGAACGGATCATCGATTTAGTAAACAAGCTTAAACAGTCGCGTTCTCACGCAATTGAGTTTTCACACACAAATGTGCATTTATCGATAAACCCTATTCTCTGAGAAACCGCGACCACATTATTGTGGTGATAATCACACTTGTCACAAACGTTTTGCGGCCTCTTCGTGGGAAAATATTTTGTCAATTGTACAAGCCTCTTGAGTGCACTTTCGCTTCCTGGCCCGAGGGCAAATCATTATCCGAAACTGTCAAAAAACGTCGTGCAGAATTAAAGACCTATTATTCTATTCAACAATTGGCCTCAGGAAATCAGAACAAAACCGCCATGTAATGAGCTGATATCAAACGAATCGGCACCATTTCGGTGTGCTTTTTTGTTCAAAAACAGCGACAAACGAGCCGCGATTTCAACACAAATGCACAGCAGCAAGTCCGCCGAGAGTGGACAAATACATATACTTCTATCAACCCTCTTAAGACAATTGTAAACAATTGGAGGCTCGACCTCCAACGTCGATGTGTTTGCAAATCGAGAGTATTGTTATCAAAGTGTGGTTGCCTAGATGGGTCATTATCAAATCCACAGCGGTTAGAACTTCAACAAAAACACGTTTGTAGAACAATTATCCGTGACCGCGAGGTTATTGTCGCGTAAACTAGACTGGGACGTTACTGTAGGCGCGAATGCTTTGGTGTTTGTAGGGCAAATAAGATTATGACACCAACCCAGATCGATTTTCTGTTTACTTACATCATATTTAGAATTTCGCTTTGAAACCATGGCTTTGGCAGTCTCGAACTTGAAGTGACAGGACTTTGAATAGCAGGAGTCGGCGGACGAATGTCACATGAACTTGGAGGCTGTGAACCGGAAATCAATCAGTTAGTTCTTTGAATAACCGTTGCATTCATCGAATTCAAAATTCAATTAAATTCTTACGATACGCTCAGCTACGCTGTGAGGTCCAATAATTACTTCTTGCTCGTCACGAAAGGTTTAGTCAACTATTAATCGAACACAAAACATGTGTTCCTTCACCCGAACGTGAATCACATCCAAAATGGCGACCTTCAAGCGACGAGGCTTCAGTGAATTCGTAATAAAATTTGATGCACTTCACTCACTCTGCTGTCGCCAGCGTTGGACGGATTATTAATTTCCTTTCCTTTGTCGCTTTTCTTGCTCTTAGACTTAGACTTGGTCATGTTTTGCTCGATTTTCGACCAAAATAGGGCTGACGACACCAAGAACTCACAATACTCAGCCGGAAATGACTTATTTTCCCACAATGCTTCGACAAAAAGGCGCGAAACGTGACAGCGAATCAAACAACGAGTAGGCGGCAATGTTCAGGCATGTAAATTTCACGGCTGCTGAAATCAACAAGTGGTATCACATGATAAAAAAAAAGCAGAAAACACTTTTAAAAGCCGAACTTACGCACTGTACGTGTTACAAGGAAATTTTACATTGCTAACTTCCTATTGTGAATGACGCACTATATGAAGTATTCTTGAGAATATTTTCTTTCGATATTAGTCATCATCTTTTAGATTGCTTTTTTTCCGTCAAGTGGGAGCAGATTTTGCCTTAGGGAAGCTCCTGTTTCAGTGAATAATTTCACTCACGTTTACTTTTACTACGTAAAAAAGTCATTTCCGTTCATGACTGACTGTCACGGCGACTGCCGTTAGTCCATGCAATAAAAGAACTCGCTATTTCCCCGTTTGTATTTCCCACGTGTTTCAACTAGTCCGCTAATTGGCGAAATTTGCGGCGGTTAAGTTTTTCAATGTCATTAAACAATGATTCTCGTGAAGGCATTAAACCACAGGAACGCTCGAGAAATGGAAAGAGACTTCAACGGAATGCGGGGGTAAAAATATATGATTGGCGGAATGCCAACAGTGGGCGTGGGACAAGGATAACCGCCCGTCGCTATTGGCTCATATGTTGCACATCACACATAAACGCAAAACAAGCTCGAACAACAGATGTCAAAATCGCAGGGGAGTGGTTGGCTGAAAGCATTTCATTTTGTTTCACCGTCCGGTAGTGTGCCAAACTTGCCACACATATTCCCGTGGCTCACTCTTGTGGTTTACACATTGGAGAACCATGACCACTGCGACAGAAAGTGCGGGACCACGGAAAATTAGAGGCGAACGATCGCTCATTGAAGCCCTGGCCGAGTACCCAGGCGAGCTTGTGAAAACCGATTCTCCGAACTTTGTTTGTAGCGTGTTGCCATCGCATTGGAGATGTAATAAGACTCTGCCGGTCGCTTTCAAAGTTGTCGCGCTCGGCGATATTCCTGATGGAGTGATCGTCTCGATTGCTGCGGGCAATGACGAGAATTTTGCAGCTGAACTGCGCAATTCCACGGCCGTAATGAAAAATCAGGTGGCGCGATTCAACGATTTGCGATTCGTAGGTCGCAGCGGAAGAGGTAAGCAAAACGTGCTGTACGTGCCATCGCTTTTGACGCAGTAGGTAGAGAGGCGCTCACTTACTGCATTTTGTATGGAATCAGTCATCTGGAAAAGACAACACTCATGAAAACATGTCATGAATTATATAGGCTTCAAAACAGCTTGTCAATTTCAACTGTCTGTCTGCTAGCTACAGCATTACCTGTGTTTTTGTCCCGACTGTATACGTGATATTTATACATTTTTTTCCTTTTCTTCACCTGTGCATAGGAAAAACCTTCACGTTGACCATAACGGTAAAAACGGATCCTCCTCAAGTCGCCACATACTGCAGAGCTATTAAGGTGACCGTAGACGGACCGCGGGAACCACGCAGTAAGTTCTAACAAAATCTCTTCCTCATTTTTTGGGTTGTTTGACAAATGTATTTGTGGTTCACCTGACCCCATAGAAGCCAAAGAAAGTTTAGAAACTTAAAATCAGAGTTGTATCACAACGTCTTATAATTACTTCAGCTGATTTTATCCCCTTAAATTGTTTTGTTGAATAAAAAAAAATTATCGAGTTTTCCCTGGAAAAAAATGTTTCTCCTCTTTTCAAAGAATTTTAAACTCTGATTCCGACGTTGATTTGATTTTGAAAATTAATTCGCAATCATGAGATAATAATCTATAACCAGGAGGAAATTTCGTGATTCTTTTTTAGCTTTTAATATTTCGAGGTCTTCGCGGCCACAACAAATTCATTCCGAAGCTTTCCTAGGTGAACTGTTTTTGCCGCAATGGCCTGACTTTGCCGATACCGTCGAAACCTAAAGACAGATAAAAAAAATTTGCGGCTTCTCTCTGAAACGGGTGCTAGTATGTTGTTTATATTCATGAATACTAGCCGACTCAACCGCAAATAAACATAGTCACTGTTTAGATAAATAGAACCAACCCGTTGTCTCTTTCTATAGCTGTGCCACGCGTAGCGGGGACAAGTGATTTAGGCGATACGCGGGAAAATGATTAATGTTTAATTTGCAATTAATGATTCAGAAAACGGGCGCAAGCCATTGGTTGGTGGCATAATTGAATTGATTATGGTATGTTTTTAAGACTCCATACCTAACAGATGCAGGTGGTATGGCAGGTGGCAATTGAGACTCACATCATTTCACCTGTCCATTGGAAGGCTTTTATGAATGCATTTGTTAATCTAATAGCATTTCTCTTTCTTCTTAATCCCGCTAATAAATCAGATAAAAAGAAATGCCCTGAAATTGGATGTCACTCTCTTCTGACACAAGGAGTCTCGGAAATTGAAAGCAAACACTTTGGTCAATTTTTCGTACATCCTCACTAACTCTTTTGGCAAACAGAGTTTGGGGAGTTTATTTTCAATTTTGGGGGCATACAGTTGTGGGAAGATTGAGTAATTGGTTTTTAGTGTTGGTTTTTATCTGATCTTTCTCTGTGAAGGAAGTTCAATTTGCCTTTCGGGATTCCCTTTTAAATTGAATTAGTGCAGTAATTGATTTCTCTCTTATGTGATTTTATTTCTGATTTCTGAGTGGTTCAAAGGAAAGTATTACTCTATTTGCTCAGCGAGCTAAAGAGAAGGAATTTTTTAGTTGATCTCACTGTTAATTTCCATAATTGGTACCATACAGAAAAAATGGGTTACAATTTTATCTTGAGTCATGAAAACTCAGCTTGACTATAAGCCTTTCATAAGTCAATTAAGTTTTTTCTTTCAAAAGCAGTCTGGCATTTTACATAATTTTTTTGATACCCCACCAAGCATCAACAAAATCCATATTTTATGGTATCAAGGTCAAAATAAGGACTTCTAACTTGAAACCACCGAATCATGTAGATGTCCAAAAATCAAAATTCATGGTTTTGATGCCCAAAAAAAACAAAGGAACTAAACTGGAACATAGCTATGCATATACGTATACAAGAATGGACAGTTTGATTATTGATGGTGGCAAATTCTGTCACGGTTGGGTATTATGTTGTTAAATTTTTTATTACAAACATAGAAGCTTTGTGTACAAAAAAAATTTCAATTAAAAGCCAGATGTCCAGAAAATTCAATAAGTTCTTCTGAGAACAATTTTCAATAACCTGACACAAAGAATTTGACATTTTTGTTTCTATCAAATTTAAAAAGTCTTTTAAAATCAATTAAAGTGTGTTTTTTTCTGTTTTTCATTCTTTGCACATAATTCTGCTTTGGATATGTTCTAGTATTATGAAAATGTATGTAAGAAACCTTGACTTTCATGTGGTTTTATCTTGTAAGGTTTAAGTGAAACATAAGACTAGGTTGTATGGATAAAACCACACATATACTTCATTCTATTGACTCTTTTGGAGTTCCATTTTACCTCACCATCCATAACTTCACCCTCAAACCACAAAACAGGAGATCATTTTTTGAAAATTACTTATATTAGATAGAAATAGTGTGTAAACCATTTCCCAAAGTATAATACTTCCTTACCCACTTTGGTCTTATTTTGGTTTAGCTGATCTTGAAATAAAACCTCAACTGAAATCATATTAAATTCATCCGTTAAAAACAACCACTAAATCGTCTGAGGGATTTGAACTTCAAGCAACTCCTATTCATGTTTCTTTTTAATAAGAAGACTTTCATTTTCACCTTGGTAAAGAAAAAATACTTGCCACTTAATCATTAGGTATTGAAAGGACTATTATTACGTTTAGAAATCATGCAAATTTCTATTGACTGTGACAAAAATATTTCAATTTTCATCAGCGGGTTTTTAGTTACGTTATTTCGTTGGGTTGAGCATTGCAAAATACTACAGTAACTGTACTTCAGAGTAGAAATGATGCGGAAATCTTGTTGTTGAAAATGAAATAATTAGCCATGTCCTCGGTTTTTTTTTTAAGGAAAAAATAATCATTAATCTTGAGAAGATAATACTGAGCTGAAATATATCTGATATATAAACTAAGAAAATACCATAAGCAAAAGTGTCAATTCAATGTTAATGTGAATAAGTTTCACTTTAAATTTTGGAAGCGGTGTAATTACTGCAGAAAAAAATACGGAAAGTCTGACTAAACCAATTTTTTGTGTAGTAATTTTCCTGAGAGCTGGTGAATACCGAGTTACATAAATTATTATTTTTAATATGTTAGTTTTCCCTCTACCTTTGTGAATAAGAAAGGGGAAAATTTAATTTTGCAACGTAGCAAAACTGAAGATGAACGTAGATAGAAAAAAAAAATCGATAGCTCTTCTTGAAATACCTAGTTTTACTGTCTCGATTGAGATTCTCAGGTAGATTTGACGTTTTCCACACCGCAGTTTTAATAGAATTATACCTCTGACAAAGATTCCAAGGGTTTGAATGCTGATAATACTTTTAACTTCCTACTGTTAACACTTGGATCGAAACATTGCGGATATCGGGAAAAAGAAACCATGCTGGTTTTCGCTTGTATTTTATCTCGGAAAATGTTTTACACGAGGAGTTAAGCATTTTGCTTTGCTTTGCGTACTGTATACGTATATACAGAGTTGGTGTTCCTGTAGTTAGCGTTTTATTTATGTTTATATAAAATAGCAGAAATTTTGTGTAATCAGGGTTTTTCGTGATGAATGTACCTCAAGTCGCGTTGCGCTTTCTGTGTAGAATATTCCTCCGCAGTTATTTCGAAATTTCACTTTATGGGAAATTGGCCATTTTCTAACCTCTAACGTTTTCCAAAAAAAAATGTTTTAATTTCTCTTTCCGACCAACGTTGACATCATAGTTTGATTTTTAGAAAATATTCTTTTTTCCCCTACACGACTTTTAACCGATTTTGGGGTGTGTCGTTCATAAGGATTGGTCGCGAATTCTATAATTTTATGTTGTTTTCTTTTTAAATAACACTCTATTCCAATTGTTTAAATCGTCGTGTATATTCTTGCTCACTTCGACTTGCAGTTTCCAGTTTAGGGAAAATAGAAACGGGAAATTTTGTCTGCGCATTCGTGTTTCACGTATGAGTTGCTCATGTTGCATGCCAAACGCTCGTAGTCATCTCATTCGTCCTATTGCTACTTCAAAGCCAAAACTTTGCTATTTTTGAACCTAAATTATTGAGCGAAGTTTCTTTTCCTGATAACAACTATCGCTTTTCCGATCCCGCGCTTAGTGAATGCGGAGTGGAGAGTAGTTATACTTTAAATCTTGTGGCCGGACTAGAATTAAGCACGCTTCGACAGATTTCCTCATAATCAAAGTACCGTTTCATTTGTTGAAGAAAGAAACATTTTCTTTAGGCTGGGAACCCGGCGGAATTAATTGACCACATAACAGGCAATTCATTTTCTTTGACAGGGCACAGAACACGTTCAGACGAGAGAGACCAAGCTAACGCCTACGATCAATTTCACTCGTTCGATCATCTCGGATTTGAAGGCCTTCGACGTTCCATAAGAGACAATAGCTTTCCACCTTTTACTGAACTCCATCCGGGCCCACTTCAACCCGTCAAATTACCAGCAGATGCTTCCTCGGCATTCAGCGCTTTAGCACCCGGTAAGTTGGCGGCCGTTTATTTCCTCCTAAACAAATTTTTGCAAATTTGCGGGGAAAAAAGAAAAAAGAGAGTAGGAGTGAGGGTCGGTCATTTGAATATTTAGCAAAAATTCGGAGCGAACATAGAAAAAGTGTGCGGAAAGCACAGAAAGTTTTACTTAAATAGCTCATAGTTTTTGCAGTGGGCCTAGCAAATTGAACTAACCCTTATCTCGACATGGCGCGACGGAAAGAATCGCTCAAAAATTACATCCTTCCTTGCAGTCTTGTTTTCACTTCAAGAAAATAGTCATTGTTCCAAGGTTTATAGTTTGCTACATCTGGTAGCAACGTTGTAGATTGCTACGGCGTGAAAAGGAAGGACCAGCAGACCCGAGGAAATGCTTCGAACTAAATAATTTAACGACGGTTTCCGGAATCGTATCAACAGATGAGCAACTCTGTTTCCTTTTAACTTGTTTGCGTAGCGCAAATTTCCAAGTCCCTATCCCGCACCTTTCACTCGCCAAGTGTCAAGCAAGCGTTCTCGGCTTTTGCGAGCGTTTTAACGCGCTACATGGCGAAAAAAGGTTACTTAGTTTGTATAGTCTTAAAGTTGCCTTGAGCTAAAGATGGCGGTTGCGTGGAGCGGTGATCGATAAAATTCCCACGGACACTTTGACGCCATATTTGCAGCGTCTAGACATGGAAAGGTACCTGTTGTTTTAAAAGAAACACACCTTTTTTGTAATCATAAATTCTTTTATTTCCTATCAAGGAAGGTACAGAATTATAAGCGTTTTATTTAGACGAAGTCAATCAAGTACCATAGGATGTGCTAGATAACAACTTGACCGGTTTATTGATGGTTCACCCAGTAAGCGCTATTCTTCTTGCAAAGTTTAATTTCAAGAGAAAGGCTTGTTTCCCTTCACGTATGAATGATCTCGTATCTTTAAGTGAGATTTAGAACAAGCTGGTTTTTTCATCGTTTGTGATAGAGTTTTCCTTGCCGTAGTCGAGAGAGACTTCATGGTAGTGTTTATAGCCAGGAAAGTGTTATGATCTTTCTTCTGGCCTCAAACGCGTCCTTTTTCAAAAGGCGTGAAAACTTTGCATCGAAAACTTATCATTAACTAAACCAAAAGCATAGCAAAAGTGAGAGAGAATTTAAATCTTGAAAAATTCAAGAAAAGAAACAATTGCTACATTTTATTAATAATCGGAAGTGCCGAAGTAGGTCGAAGGAAGCGCAAGCCTTGACTTTGATTTGCAACAATTTCCTTTTGTTCTAAAAAAAGCAGCATCAAAAAGTTAAGTGCGAGATGTGTGTTGAACATTGATAACGTGCGGTGAAGCTTTTCCAGTTTTTCCTAATTGCAGCTGACTCAGTCAACTAATTGTCCATGTTTTTTCTCTAATTGTGCGGTTAATGGTCTTGGCTACCGGAGTAAATTATTACAGTTACGCTACCATTTTTTAGGGCACTCGTATCAAAAGTTTCAATCAAAACAACATAAATTTGTCTCGTTCAACCAACAAAGATTCAAGATTATGGAGCTCTTTTTACTGAAACCTTACTTACCTTCAATAGTCAGCTTTTACAGCTACATCGTGAGACAGGTTTGCTCAGTATTTGGCTTTAGGAGGATGTGTATCAGATTGTTTAGCGTATCCATATGCAAACGAAGGCTGTTAAGCAGTGCGTTCTATCTGTGTTTTTCGCTTTTACTTTCCCAATCAATAATTTTCTGAAAATGATCAAGCTTGTATGAATGCCTTACACTCTGTCTTCGAGGGCTAGCTGCTGTAGGTTATTGCCAAGGCACTACTGAATTGTACAATTCGTTCGCAGGAATTTTGTAACATTCATAACCTTGAACTGTTCGTTTTATTTTCTTACAGAAAACAATCAGATCCGTTCGCCATCAACATGGAGTTTCCATGGTTTCCCGGGATTTTTAGGACCAAATATCCCATCTCATCCACCACCCGAAGCCCAAGTGAACTTGTCAACTTTGAGCGCATTACAACCTAACCCTCTCCAAGCGCCCCGACCGCAAGTCAACCTACAGAACACGAGCGCTGTTCCTATGCTTCCTCACTACACAGAGCCCAGATTTCAGGGCATTACACAGTATCCATTCCGCACCTCTCCGCAAGCTACAACGAACACAACTCTTACGACTGTGTCAGACGGCATAGGTGCGGGGATTAACCAAGTTGGAGCTCACTCTTCCCCGAGTATGGAACCCTCACACGGTATGTACCCCACGGCATGCCAGCAGCTCAATTCAGCACCAGGGACGAATTCCATGAACGGAGCAATGTTTAACAACAATACTTTATCCAACGGTTTGGTAAATAACGGTTATACCTTCCGACCACAGCCTTTTATGCACGAGACGTCAATGAGCAAGGGAAACATGCCGATACCTCAGACAACATCGGGAGGTCCTATCACACAAGTGAACGGCACAACCACCGGGGTTTCTTTTCCCTTGCCGAGGCCCGGAGGGATGCCCATGGTGGGGCAAAATATGGGAAGCCCTCAGAGGATTCCCATACCGCTCGGCAACGTAGATCTTAACAGTGGATATAACACGTTGCCGAGAAGTGATGGACACGGAATGATTACGCTTAAACAGGAGCCTATTGATACTATTTCAAACCATGTTGTTAATCATCACAATGGACTGGAAGTATCGCATGCTGATACGGTATTACACGAACGGAATGGTACTTCAACTCCTAAGGGAGTTTGGAGACCGTATTAGCGACACTAATCTCTGTAGAGAAGAGTTCATTCATGTTATCTGCACGCCAGGCTCGTTAATTGCAAATGAACATTCTTCGCCTTTACAGTACACTGGAAACGATAATTGTTGACAAGGTTTAACTCGGAAAACTTTACGTAAAAGCTGTTAGTACCGCATGAAAATATTGCTTAAAAAGTGAATCTTTTTCGCGGTAGTTTTTGATAGACACTGACTACAAGAAAAGATCGTTCAGTTCTCGTTAACAGGGCAAGTCAAGACGACTCGCTTATTCTTCTTTCAATGTCGATCTCTCTTAATGACAGTTTTTATGCCGTTATTGTTCATTACGCATTTGACTCGAATCGCCTTTAGAAAATTGAGTAGAAATCTCCTAAAATTTTATCGCTTACTACTATATGCAAGGTCTACGGAACCGTCAAGTCGAAACGACAATGCACCTAGGTCGGCTTAACCCTTTGCCTTCAGGACTGAGAAAACGTAAAATCTTTTTTTTTTTTTTCAAAAAAAAAAAACAACACTTAAGATAAATCAAAGAGCAGTTCACATGATATATGAAAGCAGTTCTCGAGAGCATTCATTTGAATGGTAATACTCCGATGGTTGAGTTAGAATCGCATTCGAGAAAGCAAAGGGTTCAGTCATGCACGGTGTGGATTTTACTTTCGTAATTTTTTTTATTTATTGCTCGTGTACGTGCCTTTATTGGATATATGAAAAGTTAGTATATAGGGCGCCACACAGGCCAAAATCTACTATGAAATTAAAATTAATAATTAAGTAAGCATGAAGGAATACCGTAATATGGAAAAGAGAGCTAAAGAATATAGTATTGATATTTATATACATGCATTATTTGAAACCCTCCGTAAAATATGTTTGAACTTGAAATGAGATTTCAAATTTTACTATAACATGCTGCGCGTGGAAATTAAATTCTTTAACGCTACGTATTAATGTTGTTTTTGTCACATCTTTTTGTGTGAAACTATGTCTAGAGTTTCCTGTAAATCACGAGTTGGTGTTATTTTTGCCTCCAACTTTTATTTTTGCAAGATTGGCTTCTTTTATATCCGTTGTTAACCAAAACGATAGCTATGACACTTCCCGTTAGCTCAGGTCGTTTTATGAGAAGCGATCTAAAATCGAATCGTAATTATAACTAAACAAGTTAATGAACTTTACAATTATTTTAAGTTGTTCAGAATGAAATAACCACTATGAATCTGTATAAAACAAACACTATAATTTATTAGTTTAAGAACTAAGATAGTGGTCACCACATGGACAAAGATAAACTCATTTCACATAGCACGTGATCTGAATTAAACAGATTGGAGATTTAAGATGTAGTGTATTACAAAACGCGTGATTTATCTCCAGTGATAGTCAGATCGTCGATAATATTAGTGTAGTATTTAGAGCAGGACTGAATGTAGTTACGGTCAGAGCTCTAATTAAACTTTGATAATACTGATGATAATTTAGCTATTTGCCGCAAGCTTTTTGTGAGACGCTTCGGTGGGTTTCGCAAATTACTCGATAGAGATTAACGACCAAAACTTAATTCATCTAAACCAAAATGTAAAATACAGTAATAAAGCACTTAATTGTAAATTTAGTAGATCAAAATAAAAATTTTCAAACAGTTCAAAGAAACAGGATCTTTATAAAAACAAACGAAATGACGAAGTAAGCAAAACTATTTGATATATTGACGCCTTGATCAAACAGCGGAAGATACACTCGATCAAATGTGCTATCACGCGATTAACCACTCGTGCGGAACTTCCAAGTCACGAACATTTAACCATAAACTTTAAAACTAAAAGGTGGTCAATACAATTCGTTTTAAATACATTAAAAACGTAAGACGCTTTTAGAAGAAAACAATTCCTTCTGGCATGTGACTGTATCTGTTCTTGATCAAGCGGACTCGACGATGCGTTCGCCAAGTTCACGACATCCCAATTACAATTATGTAACCAGTTGTTTATCTTTCGAACGACTTAGAATTATATAACGTTTTGGCATTAAGACGCATTATAGCTTGATCAAGGATGGAATAAGCTGCTAAGCGCTCAACTGCCAACTGAGAAATTGTCACACAGTTGGGAGTCAGGCCAGGATAAACTGCTCTTTTTGTGAGGCCATCGATACGGAAGCAGTATCAGCGTGACCTTGAAACAATGAGAAACACCCCGCTAAATTTGCCGAAAAGAAAAAAAAAGCGCTATGGCTATTTTAGATTGACCTTTACTATGAAGTTAAATAAAGCGTTTCATTCTAGAAATGCTTTGAATGTAGCTATCTCAAAGACTGCGTCATAGTTGCCATTCCTATCGAGGGCAACGAAAACAGCGTCTTTTCAACGCGCAAGAAAACGTGACTAGTTTTTGACAAGTTCATGAACTTTCAAGAGCTTTAGTGGTATGTTTTGATATGTTGAACAAGAAAATTAAGAGGATTGTGCTCTAAATTAGCTTGCTTATGTTATTAATGTTGTTTTGGAGGAGATTCTTAGGAGCTCAACAATTCTCTGCTATGTTTACAATCAAAACCCACTGAAACGGTTTTCAAATCGGAAACTCGTGATTTACGTCTTAAATTTAAATTTGAAATTGTGTGACTCTTTTCATGATCGGAAATTGTAAAACAAAATTTGTGGTGAGCTACTTTTCAACACTGTTCTTAATTTTTTTACCCGTCAACAAGGTTGGGGTATTCGTCGGCTCCGAAATAAAATCAGCTATTAACTATTTAAATTGCTTAACGAGAGGTTAGCCCTGATATAAAGCGAATATTACTTTAATTGAAATTGTTAAGAAACACAGCTATGCTTATTTTCAAACAAATGATTTCGTCCGTTTTGGATTTTTAGTGGTTGAAAACGGAGAGTGAAATTTTACGGATGGACGGAAAGGATTCTGTATGGATTAACAAAAAGCACAGTCAAGGTCATAAGAAATTAGTGGAAAAAACACCCTGTTTAAGTGCAACCAGTTGAATGAGAAAAAAGAAAATAAAGATTTCATGCACCAGCCAAAAACACATTCTTGCGCTCGCCTTTTAATATACCATATTGACGCTTTGTGAAAGTCAAGCAGCTTCTACGCACGGTCTCCCATCCCACCCCCGGACAGAAACACAGTACGTGTGTGCGCTGCTGAAACGCGTACGTGCCTCGACGAACTCGTAAACAACCACGCTTTTGACACGGAGAGCTCGTTTGACCCGCCCGCCCCGGTATAAGTCATTACACACCTCGCAAAATGCCAATTATTGCTAAGCCCCTTCGCTATCTTTTCGAATTAAAAGGCGTCGAATTAAGTTGTTTATATCTTAACTTAAGATTCCTGACAATCTTCACAAATTGCAAGCATTCCTTGCTAAAAGAAGACCTCGTTTAGCTCAAGTACGCTTGGGTGATTGAACAAGAGGTTGTTTTTTTAGAACTGAAAAAAATACCTCCGGCTAGCTGGAAACGTTTAATACAGGGTGGTAAAAATAAACGGTTAAAAAGAATGCAAGGTGTATTATAAATTAAGTGGTAAAAATATCGAAATAAGCCTATAAGAAGTTTTGTTAAATGGATTTTGTACGGAAAGTTTCTAGATACTCCAATATGAATGGTTTTAGAGGAAAGTTTTCACTTTTTTAATTCTGGCAAATTTCCGTTTTAGCTCTAGCATTTCACTCAAATTTGGCCCAAGATCAAATGGGAAAGATCGAACTTTGAATTGCAGAGTGAAACAAATTATGCCGAAAATCATGACATACTATTTCGAAATCCGATTTTTTAGATTATAACTGTTCGGCGATCTCATAAACGTTTGTCTAGTCGTACATCATTGTCCTTTACAAGAGAGACAACAATAGCCGTATGACTTGAAATCTGAGAATACAAGTATATCAAACGTTCACTTGCGATTACTTTGGTATTATCTAGAGATTTGTAGCTTACTCATCAAGTTTAGGTGTTTTAGTTTATGGTAAATAGACTGCACCTATTTAAATTAACTAAAGCTTTAATTCCAAACGCGATTTAACCCCAAAGGCAGCAAAAAATCAACAAACAAGTTGTCTCCCGATGTTATCGCACTAGAAAACACTGCCTCAAAAGTACGATTACTTACGCCCTCACCCAAAAAGACAAGTCAACGAACAATTTCCAAAACTCCGTTATTTATTTTTATTCATTTTTTCCTTTTTTCAGAAGTACAGAGTACTTTGTAATCAAGCTGTTTTTTTGGAAGGAACTTTCTGGCTGTAACTGCTCCTTTAATTATGTAATAGAATTATATTTTTTCCCATTTAAAATGAAAACAAAACCATGCATTGTAAAATTTATGGATTATAGTTGTTTTGTCTGAGTTTTTTCTTTTCCAGAACATTTAGTCAAGTTCTGATAAGTATTGCTGAGAAAACAATGAGTGCTTGCATGCAGGCATGAATGTTATTTTTAAGGTTAACAAGTGTCACACGAAATCAGGAGGGAATATTTCAAACTGAATCGAACTGATAAAGTTCCGCTTCAGTGACAGTCTCAACATTTAGCAAGATTTTTTTAAAACTTTTTCAGCTGTCTTATTTATGTAAAATCGTGGAAAAGCAATAAAATGCTATTAAGGCACTCGGTTACGACCAAACTAAGGATTGCCCACGGTTTATAAAGTTTTGTTAGTGTACCGTCAATTTTTGAGACCAAGTGAAATCGCCATTTCCTACGCCGGGAACCCCTCGCACAATTTATCCTCCGTTTCTTGAACCGTTGAAGGAAAATATAACTTGTCTGAGAAATTAGGAATACGTTTTAAGTTTAAGCTAAAAGATTCTAATCATCACTAGTACCGAAAGGAAACATGACAGTTTTCCACAGTGAGAAATTCGCCGGAGTTAAGCAACCGAGTAAATAGCTAAATCACCGATCTCCAATTGGCAATGTGACAGTTTCACCCATCGCTTTTTAGGTTTGAGGTAGGATTTGTTTCGGTTATCCCGTATTGACTGGTGGTAATCGCAGTAGCGGTTATAGACACTTATAAATTGTCGCTTCTCTTCAGCCCTAAAGTCGTCGCCGTCCACTCAGACGACACTGAAATAGGTCACCCAGTAAGAGATGCACAGCTCAAAGTCGCCGTAGCTAGTATAGAGTATGGCTCCGGCAGGTCAATCGATGTCGGGCCGTCACTGATTTGTCAAGAGCAAGGCAAAAATAAGTAAAATTTGCTAATTATGGCTACAAAAAAACTATCTCCATCTACGTTAGTAAACGTAGAAATTGCAACTTTTACGCTAGAGAATATCTCCAGTCTACTCTGAACTCTGAGTGAAGTAAAGATATGTGTGCAAAACCATTAAATAACTAAAATAACATTTTCTGAGTATGGTAGGAATTTTATGTCGTGCAAACTGCCCAGTCTTGTCATATGGCAAAGCTTTGAAAGAAATTAAAGACGGTTCAGCCGGCGAGCTCCTTCACCCGGCGGCATGCTTGACGGCTTGCTTGATCTCGACTCCATTAAAGCGTTTGCGCTTAGTTTGCGTTCAGCTTGGTTAACTATACACGCTTAGTTCACGACGCAGCTTTCAAAAAGTCCACGCCAAAATAGAAAAAAAAAACAAGAAAAAAATCAAAGAATGATAAGAGTTCTTTATTACTTCAATAAGAGAACAGTTTCTTTTAAATTTGTTATGTTTTGGCGAAATACAAAGTCTCTTAACTTATGCTAAACATCTATACATTTTTTTGAAATCTAGTCGGTACAGCCTAGCAAGTTCCACACCTACGCAATTAACTACATTGTTGATTAAAATTAAAGTTAGCACGTTTTTAGCTGTTGAAGTTTCTATGCTAAACAGATAGCTTCAAGATTCCACTTGTTTGAATCTATCAGCTAATAAAACCACCCACGACAATCTTACGTTAGCCCGTGAATTATTATAGCTGATGACAAGATAATCAGAAATCAATTCACCTCTCTGGTGTTCGTGTACGAGCCACAAAATACACCTTAAACGATGTGGCAAAAAAAAAATATTACATTACAAGGCAGGATGCTCCGCCAGTTACGTATTCCGCCATATTAGCTGAGGTGTTTATGGAAGCGACTGATTTTACTCGTGTTCATAAACAAGTACCGTAAACGTCTCTAAAGACGTGTTTTCGTTAACACGTAGTGTCTAAACTTGTCTCAGATCCAAAATTCCTACACATTCTGACGAAGTGCTTGTCTTTGTCAAATGCGTCGCTTTTTTTTTTTTTTTTTTTGCTAGGTAAATCACGTTTCTTCGGCGACCCCTTTAACTTACTGAAAGTAGTTAATTGAATGACGTATTTCAACCTTGATATATCATAATATAGCGCCAATAACTGACCATATAAAGATCACCTAAATACAGTGTATTTTTTAAATACTAAGCACATCGGGAGCTAGAATAGGATGTGCAAAGCGTTTTCTCGTTAAGACAAATAGCAATTATGACTTGTGATTATGACACGGTTATTAGAGTATCAGAATAGCCCAGTGATAATGATAGCAGAATAATTTCTAACTATTTTAAAGTATGTATCTTAAGTCATACATACATGAGGAAAGATACTCTAAGCACCGCACTACAAGGAAGATAAAAGTAATATTGACTACGTGGTCGCAGAATGAAATCGTTTTTGTGAATGCCGGAAAAAAATACCTCAGATCATTCAATTTTTAAATTCTTGAACTGTAAACAAGAAATGACCACTTAAGAAAAGTTCTGCTTGGACGTTTTTCATTTCAACTGACGTGGATTTAAGGAATTGTTTCAAAAGTTTTAACACCGCTTATGCTAAGTTTACGACCCTGGCAATATGTCAAAAACGATCTCAGTAAAACAAGCCTAGGGCCACGCGATGGAATCACGTTTGTATGTAAGACTGACCTGTATAAACGCAAACGCTATAAAACAAAAGTTGCTTGCTACGAACTGGAGTTAAAAGAACAGCCTAATGTCTATAACTGTCTGCTTTAAGTTCACCTTTTCTTGTTTTACGCAATATCAGACCAGTTCGACCTCCAGAGTGAGAAAAATGGCAGCAACTAAACATGCCGGCTTTTCTCAGGCGTTTCTCATGTGATTGTAACTTAGTTTCGCTCATGGTACCGACTGACTTTCCACACATGCTACGCACTCTACTGGATAATCGTGATATCTTTTCATAGGAAATAAAGGTCTCAGTAGATTCTTTCGCCAGCCTAACCGACGCCTCCCGTCATTCACGAACCTTCCACCGTCCTTGTAGGAGTTCTTGGTTGATCTGCGTAACTTCATTTTTTTAAGCGTCGTGCGTGTCCGTAACGAGACTGAAAAAGTGACCTTATTAGGTTATTTTTCGTCTTCACTCAAAGCGTTCTACTTGCACGTCCGTCTCTACTCAAACAGGAAAATGAGGACTCTTTACAACTGAGAATGTCTCAGAATGTCAGAGGCATATCCTTTGCGTAGGCCACAAGCATTCCTTTCTACAGTGGTCACGCTTATTTGTTTGTTTCTCTCGCCACATCGCACATTCGATGTAGTTTTTCCTAGTTATTACTCTCTGCGTGAAAGAAAAAAAAAATGATTCAGTCGTTACTTTGACGTGCTTACACACACGCGGTCTAAGGATAAGTCGTCTGTTGATGAAGTCAATCTCGAGTTGACTAAGAGAGCCTTTTTTTTATAACGGGCGACCCTTTTTAATGATCGTATGTAGTTTTGTTCATAAGGAGGCTACCCTTTTTATTGATTGTGTGTAATTTTTAATTTTTTATTTATTATTATTTATTCATTTCTTTTTTATGCAGGACCCATTTGGAGAGCAGTTTTTATAACTGAAATGGTCATCCTGTTTAAACATGTCATTATTATCATTATTATTTTTATGCGCGCACGTGCTGTTTTGCGGACTGAACGCCAGCTATTCACTCCGCTTTCCTGTTTCGTAACTGACGAAAACAATAAATTAAAAAAGGAAAAAAAAAACTCGCTTTATCTACGTTTGCTAAAGTGTTCACATGATAATTAACCTATGATTTGTTGCATGTGCGATTTCAAATGAGTTTCGCCGGAATGGCTGTAGGGCTCTCGTCGAAGGACGCCAAAAAGGGAAAACTCGGCTACGAATGAGTTGACATCTAGAGCAACCTTCTCCAAGTAGAAGAGCAAATATC